TATACTTTAAAATGGTCAAGAGTTTATGTTTATTTTACCACAACAAAAAATCCTGGAAATAAAAGAATGCTGAAATGATGTAAAATAACAGTTTTATGTTAGATTTCAGTCATGGTGACCAATTTTTTATCTGTACATTTAACATTTGGCAAGAATGCCTCGATTTTATAATATTAACATCAAATCATTAATAGTTGAAGGCCTCTTGTTTTATTTACTCTCTCGTCCAGAAGAAATTGATTTCTCTAACTTACCTAAACTCGTGGGCTTGATGAGAACATCAAGGACATCATAAAAGGGCAGGTTTTTTAACTGCACATCAGGATGGACAGGAGGAATTGGGGGAGACGGCTGCTGCATCTCAAATGTAGGTTTAGTATCTTGAAGCAGCACAGAACCAACAGGAGAGGACGGTGAGTGAGGTGTAACTGAAGTGGAAGGCAACGAGTGGATTCCAGCCACGGCCAGGTCAGGTTCTACAGGAGATGAGCTACCATCCAAATTGAAAACAGATGATTTGATTGTGGATAAATCAGAAAGTCCTTCAAGAGTTCGTGGATATCGGCGTCTATACAATTCCCGGATTTTAATCTGAACTGCAGGGCTGCAGCCACTCTTCAATAAATGCAGCGCCCTCATCAGGAGGTCATGCTTGCGTCCACTTTTATTCCGTCCAGCAAAGCCTAGTAACACTTGTAGTTCAGAAACTCTAAAACTAGAAACCATATTCTAAAAGGAAGAAAGAAAAAAAAAATAAGCCAATAGTCACCCTCAAGCACATAAAAATCCTATCCTATCTAAAATATACTGTAAAAGCTGATATTCCAGTATTCTAGCAACTGGCATGTGTTAGTAACCAGCATTTTCACATAGCACTTAGAACCAATACTATTCATAAAGCAATCCACCCATAAAAATTACATTCAAGTTATGGTGTTAATTATATTTTGTTGTACTCAATTTTGGTAATCTACAGTCTGTTGGTTTCTATTAACCATTTCATTGTCTGATTATGTGCAAATGTAAACAGGTATTTGCTTTATGACTATGAAACCTATAACCAATAAAAATGTTCCTTCTCAAAACTAAGCTCTACCAATACAATGTAATGTTTGTTACAGAATTATCACCAATTAACCAAACAAAAAATTAGATTTTCACAATGTTGTATGTGTAACTTCTGATGCTGAGTAGTAAATCTACAAAATCAAGACGGAACTGTGATCCAAAATTCAATGAATTTTTCACCTCAACTCAAACATTAAGAAACAGACACCATAATAATAAAGATATTTTAAGATATTAAAGCTAAAAATCACATACATCTTATATAGCAGTCAGTGAAACTTCTAAAACAACTGAAATTCCCGGCTGAGTATCCAAATGAGAAAAAGACCTTTGAAGAGCAAGGAAATGAGTGGTCATAAATCTTAAAGGACAAGACTTCCTCTACACAACTTACTGACTTGTTTGTGGATGTAAAAATTAAGGTTATATATAGTTCTTGCTTCACATCTCGTCTTCTATTTATTCAACAAAATCTAATAAATACTTTTTACCCCTTGCTGCCTCATGAATTCATCTACTTAGTGACTTCCCATCAATTCTGACCTTGGAGGTAAACCACACTAGGGTCAGTCACACACGTGCACCATCCGCCAAGAAAGAGGAAGATCTGGAGCTGACCAAAGCCATCAGAAACATACCCTCAGGAGACCTGCCCTCCGGAGACCTTCCTGCCACTAAAGCTTGGGGTTTTCCCTCCTCCTCGGTGCTGCACGCTCCACAGTCACCTGGGATTCCTCTCCAACCTGCTCTTCCCATCAGCATAGTGGTGATGTGGGGCAGTGCCTACAGCTGGCAATGAGCCATAATTCCTCTTTCTGCACTTTTAAGTCTCAGTGATAACCCAGAAGCAATTGTTTAAAACCCTGTATAGCTTTTAGATAGTTGTTAGGAATAATATTTGCTAGTTTCTAAAATGCAAACAAATTTAGATATACCAAAGTAATCTGATGCTGTACTGCAATTATACTTTGTGTACTGTATGTCTTCATATTTCATTCTGTACAAAGAATAACTAGTTGTAATCCTAGCATCTATTTTATACTCTCAATCAGAGCTGTCCAACAGAAATATAATAGAAACCACATAAGTAATTCTAAATTTTCTAGTAGTTACGTTAATAAATTTATGTATTTATTAAATTTAAATATATTTATTTAACCCAACATATCAAAACTATCATTTCAACATGTAATCAATTTTTGTGATTTAAAAATAATCAACTTTTTAAAAGTGTCAATGAGATATTTTTTCATACTAAGTCTTTGATATCCAGTGTGTATCTTAACACTTGTATGTAATACATCTCAATTTGGACTAACATTTGAAGTGCTTAAAAGCCACATGTGGCCAGTAGCTACCACACTGGACAGTATAGTCCTAAACCATACTAGCAACATACACCACAATGCCATGGTCATTATATTTCAACTTGCTTTATTTCCACCACATGTAAAACGAAGATTTTTATCCATTCTACCCCTATGCTGTGGACAAGAAAAATGAAAAAGAAGAAAATTTGGGGCCTATCTCATAACAAACCAGTTACAGTTTACTCAAAGTTTCATGCATTGAAAGGACCACAACAGCTTTGTAGGAAGTGTTTACCCAGGCAAAAAAATGTGATGCATCTTTCCCAAAGTCCTCAATCTCAAGAAAATATTTCAATTGATTGTAGAATACTAACACCAAAAAAGGCACTCGCACAAATACAAGATAACTGATTCTTTCTAAATGGGAGACCAGACTAACTCAGAATTCATTACTTTACTTCCCTTCTTACACTTATTTTCAGATATTCTTCATTTTAAGAAAATTTGTTTTATAGAAATGACAAAATAGAGCACAAGTCACCCTACCTAAGCTTGGCTCTCAAAATGGAATTTCTGGGATATCTCACATTACCTATTTCCAGTGGTAACATTATGTGGCAAAGGATGCTAATGCAATTGGCTCTATTAGCTGTTGTAAATATACAAACAAAAAGGAAGAGAGAGACAAGGGCTTAGAAATATGAATGGGAGAGACGGGACAGCCTTTGCATTGCAAAATGCTGTAAACTGAAGTACTGCTGGACACATGGCCAAAAATAAAGGCTTCGAGAGTCAAAGGGCCCTATGGAAAACTTCAGGCCAGCAATCAGCAGTTGTAGTTCAAGCCCAAGCACCAAGACCTGGGACCCTGGGAAAGTCATTTCATCCCTCTGGTTATCAATTTCTACTTAAAAACAGTAACAACAACAAAAACCCTCTCCTTTATTTAGCATTTTCTGTTAAGATAATCTTGAAGGAGCTAAGTAAAATTCCATGAAAATGGTTTTCTGGCAAACGTCGCTGGATCCCATTTCTTCTTGGTGATACCTATTTTTTTATCTTAGTCTTCCACCAAGTTTCAGGTCCTTCCCCCAGTTAGTGGGTGTGGTGAGTAGGAAGAGTCATCAGAGCCCTCATGGGGTAAGGATGGCCTGCTATGAATACTACCAAGAATGGATTTCAGCTGTTTTTCTCCAACCTCTGACATCTTTAGACTAATTTTTTTTCAAGCAGATTTTTTCCACTCCACTCTTATGCCTCCCAAAGGCTCCCAATGTCTGCCTGCCAAGAAATAGATTGGCACGATTTATTTTTTAAAAAGATATGTGAACAATTTGATTTCTAAAGAAAAGCTAATATAAATTAAGACTAGAATTTTAAATCAATGTTGTGTCTTTATCAAATTTAAATAAACACAAAGTAATAAATATTTCCCTGAAACTGCTCTTCGACTTTTAAACATGAGATAGAAATTGCAAACAGACTAGAATCTGGGGAGGCTCTAACAGGTTAGAAATCATGGTAGAGATCAATACAAACTTTGCAGACCTCCCTCATCTGCTATGATATATAATATAAGGGGAGAAGAGTTCAAGAAGCTGCTGAGGGAAACTGACAAATCACATTATTAATACTGCCTATTCCAGCTACAATATTAAAATAATCTACATCTTTATTCATAGATAGGATGAAAGAACAAACAAAACAAGCTAATGCCAGAAACCACGTGGCGAGACAAGTACACAGTCCTAGCTACTCAGGAGGCTGAGGCAGGAGGATCACTTGAGACCAGGAATTCAAGGTTGTTGTGCACTATGACTCCACTGCACTACAGCTTGGGCAACATAGCAAGTTGCCCATCTCTAAAAAAGAAAAAGAAACTATGTGACAAGTCAGAAAGACACCCCAATTCCTAACCAGTACCCACTTTTAGAAGTCATAGGAGGCCCCAGTTCCTGGTCCTGTATTCCTGGTGAAATCATGTATTCCCTATAATTAAATCCCCTTTTACTTGTACTATTAATATAAAGATTTAGGCAGGGCCCCGTGGCTCATCCTTGTAATCCTAGCATTTTGGGAGGCCAAGGCAGGAGGACTGCTTGAGGCCAGGAGTTTGAGACCAGCGTGAGCAACATGGCTAGACCCCAGTTCTATAAAAAATTAAAAAATTAGCCAGAAGTGATAATAGCATGCACCTGTAGTCCCAGTTACTTGGGAGGCTGAGGCAAGAGGATTGCTTGAGCCTGGGAGTTCAAGGTTGCAATGAGCTATGATCACACCACTGCATTCCAGCCTGAGAGACAGAGGGAGACTGTCTCAAATTTTAAAAAAACAAACCAACCCCACCCCACCCCCAAAAAAAGGCCATGAAAAAGGGAGGAGGAATTGCAGGGTAAAAGCAAAAAATCATTAACTAGAAAGCAAAATGCAGTCTGTCAAGTCAGACCCAAAAAAGGGAAATAAATAAATGCAGTTTTGAGAAAAAAAAAAACATAAAGACCACAAATACTAAGCAAATATCTTTAAACTAAGAACAGTATAGGCAACCGTATATCCTAATAACTTAAAGATACAGACAAAAGTCATTTTCTACAAAAATATAAATTACTCCATCTAATTCAAGAAGATCTTGTTCCCCCTCCACAACCAAAAACATCTACCCAGACGAGACAACTTAATAAATAAATTCTACTAAGCCTTCAAGAAAAAGATGAAATTCTCTTCCTTAAACTGTTTGAGAGTATAAGTCAAATAGTCCAAATACATTAGAAGACAAACACAGAAAAATGTTGAACAAAAAATACAAAATTAAAAAAATATGCAAATTACTGGTTTTCAAACTTCAGCAGGGGAGTCCACCCTATCGGATAAAATTTTTTAGGCAAAAGCCTGATGAAACAGTAGGCCTAGTATACCACCTGTTCTTCCTCATTTCCCAAAGTGGACCATAAGAAGTCTTTGTATAACATAACTTATAAGCCACTATTAACACAACAACGGTTCCAGCCAGCACGGACATAAAAGTCCTCAATGTACAGTTTAATCTAGCAATGTAAGAATGGTTTAACATAAATATAGTAAATTGCTTAGTTAAGATGATCTCTTTGCTTATCTTATAGTCACATACTGAATATGTATAAAATGATGCAATATATGTGATTTTCTTTCAAATAATTTATGGGGATTAGGTGGGGACATACATAAAAAAAGACTGGAGATGGTAACTGTCGAAGCTCGGTAACGGGTACATGGGGAATTCTCTATCTTTGTAAATGTAACAATGTTTCCATAATTAAAAGTTTGCTTGAACTGGGGAAACTGGTGTGGGGCATAGGGAGATTTTCTATTATC